GCTCTCCTTCCCCTAGGAGCACCCCCAAGCACAAGCACCCAAAGCAGCACTCAGAACACCCGAGGAGGACAGAGGAAGGGGTCAGGTCCTCTCCTCCTGGAGCCGAGCCAGCACCAACACATTCGCCTGCAAACCCCAGCCTCCCTTTCTCCTTCTGACCTCCAGGTCTTCTCCTCCTGGTCACAAACCCCCTGCCTTGCACCTGAGCATACACCAAGATCCCAGCAAGGTCCCTGTCCCTAATGCTTTCTAAGCAGAACGGTAACGTCACAAGAATGAAGTGAAATTGGGTTGCTCTCTTCCTCCTGGTACCGTAAGAAAGGCATTATGCGTGAAACAATCACATCTTCACTGAAAGTACCTGGAATGTAATCTCGGGAGGTTTTTTTTCAAACAAGACTCCAACTTTATCATGCTCTCCTCACTCCCAGTTAAATCCATTAGCAAGTATAGAAAGTGAGCTTCACTTAGCTTTTTACCATTTTGCTGGTAATATGTGAGTATTAGGCATATTTTCAAGCCTAAACGGTGCGAACAAAATACACATTTAGGCAAATATGAACCATAAGTATGGAAAATGTAAAACCACTAGCACATCTATTTACACACAAGTACACGAGCAGCTTTCAGTACCTCCTCACATTGTTCCAATTTCCAACACTATTTTAACTTCCAGTTTCAAAAACTGCATGACAGCAGTCTAGAATACCTCTTGTATCTAGCATGGGATAAGAGAAGTTACATACAACCTCATCTGGACACAAATCTACTGGTTCTACACAAATTATTGGTTTTAAACTTCAAAGAAAATTTTTTTTTTCTCAAATTTATTCCAAATCTCATTTGCATTCCTTATCAGTTGGCAGTAGGCAGGAGCTGTTCTGTTTTAAAATGAGGTTTGGATTTAATTTGTAATAGTCTGGTTTATGTTATTCTAACAAGTCTTCAAAGACACTATGAATGCAGTTCCTGCCTTCTGAGAGGACTCCTTTTGCCTTGCCAGGACAGTGTTGTTACTATTACGGATTTCAGAATAAGGAGTCATACAGCCTGTGTTACTAACAGAATGAAAACGACTATAGGCCTATAGGAAAGACAGGGAAAATCTTTTTAGTAGGACCAGCTGTGACAGGACAAGGGGTAATGGTTTTAAACTAAACCAGGGTAGGTTTAGACTGGATATAAGGAAGAAATTCTTTACAATGAGGGTGGTGAGGCACTGGAACAGGTTGCCCAGAGAGGCAGTGGAGGCCCCATCCCTGGAAACATTCAAGGCCAGGTTGGATGGGGCTCTGAGCAACCTGATCTAGTTAGCGGTGTCCCTGCTTACTGCAGGGGGGTTGGACTAGAGGACCTCTAGGGGTCCCTTCCAACCCAAAGCATTCTATGATTCTATGATTATCAGCAATTAGTAATAGTGTCCTGTAGAGGTTGCAGATGTTTTGGGTTTTTTTTTTAAAAATTGAGATTACCTGTTTGGACACCACTAAACAGGTCTTTCTCTAGTTTTACTCCAATATGGAAACAACTTGACATAAATCTTTGGGTCCTCTGCCAAAGAGGCAAAACCCCAGTGCATTGCAAAATACTTACTTTCTTTCAAAAAACCAAAAAAACAAACAAAAAAACCAAAAAAACAAACAAAAAAAAAACTCCAGTGCTTGTGAATGATTTTGTTAATAATTTTGAAGAAACACATATTAAATGGTTACAGTAAATATCAGGGGATGTACTAGCTAAATTAGCCTGCTTTGTATTTAAGAATATCACTTTCAGAAGTCTTTTTGTGCTCAGAAGACAGGGTAATGCAATCCTAGACAGCGTTTCTAGGAAATGCAAATGTTAAAAAGTAACTTTTCCACAGTAAATAGCCATTTTGGGCTATTGATTTTCAATATACTCTTATCTACTGTACTCCCCTGCATTTCTGTGGGGCATCATTTTCTTTTCAATATCTCTGAAAGCTGTTTTCCATAGAAAATTTCTATTTTAGTTGTTCAATATAGAATTGAAAATATTACATCTTTATTACTGAGTTGCTGATTGCTTTATATTGGCACTCACCAAATTTGCACATTAATTTTAATATCTTGTTTTTTCTTGGTAAGGCTGTAAGAAGATAAACATTTCATTTGCAATAATCCTATCTTTCTAGCTCCATTTTTATTATTCTGGCACCGGATTTCTGACTGAGCTGATATTTAGATAAGAGAAGATGGATTCCAGACCATCCTGGGCTTATAAACTGAAGTGCCACAACTAGGGACCTGTACAGTATCTCTCACAAATTACAAGCAAAGCACCAAAGGAATGGTCGGTTTGTAACAATGCTGCTAAATTGCAAAGAATGGGATTCTGACCTCAGTTACAATAAAGGCATTTTGTAATTATTTCTATCAATTTTTTAACACTTTACCCTTTTACTGTGGCATTTTTCTTTTAAAATATTGAAGGATTTCTAAAAGATTTTCTTAGGTAATAAATTTTCCTGTGTTCCATCTATTTTTATGAAATACTGCAGATTTTTTCAAGTACTGATGAAAATTTAATTTTCATTGGATATATTTAGATACAAATAATTGGATAATTTACTATCAAAAATGCTTCTGCTTGCTCATTGTATTCACATTTCTTAGCTCTTTTTCTGTAGTACACCCCCAGCTTTGAAGGCTTTCCACTTCTTTTCACATAAGAATGATTGTAAAAGTCATATCAAGATCAGGCAAAAAAAAAAACCAAAAACCAAAAACATTAGCAGCTACGTCTCAGAGCTATTAAATGAATATATTCCTGTAATTCATGTACTGCATACCCCCCTTACACACGTACACATATATATATTATATTCTGATTAATAACATGGTGTTAGGTTACTGACAATTAGATATAAGGTCTCATGGAATGCTCAACAATATTAAGCAAGTATTGAGTTGGCAGTGGTCAGACAGGTCCCTCATAATACTCCTATTTATAATTTTTATTCAAACACAGTGAGGTAGCACTGTGATACAATACAGACCAAGGCCTCCACTGTCTAAAGGGGCAGCATAAATATCCACCTCGGAGGCAACAAAGAACTTGATTTGGTTATCAGGAATGTAAACATTTAGTGACATCTGAAATCCTCTGGGATTCCTAACATTGAAGGAAAAAAGTCCAACTCTTAGTGGTTTAACAATACAATGGGCAATTGGTCAAAAGCTGAGATCAGTGTCATAAGCCTGAAAGCAACCATCAAAAGGTTTTACTTACAAAGGACCTTTATAGAGCAAACTATAGCAACACATTGATATCAGTATCAATGTCTCAGCCTGGACTTGACTTTCAACAGTGACCTTCCAGTTTATAATGATAGCCCTCACCAAATGCAAAGTCCTTTCTACTTCATAAGCAACTTCAAATTGATGCACATAAATGAAAGCAAATAACAAAGATGGAAAGGGAATGGTGTGTTACAGACTGCTACTACCAACAGAGAAAGTCAGGGAAAATTACACAAACCCAAATGTCAGCATAAAACATTGCCAAAATAAGTGAAAGATATATGCTCTCTTAGAAAGACAGAATAGTTGAGATTGGAAGGGACTCTGTCGGTCCCTGGTTCAAACCCCCTTGCTCCAAAGCAGGGTCAGCTAGAGCAGATTTCTCAGGGCCTTCTCCGTTTGAGTTTTTAGCATCTCCAAGCATGGGAACTGTACAATGTCTCTGTGCGGTATGTTCCAGTGTTTGACAACCCCCACAGTCAAAAAACTGAGGGTCTTTTATGTCTAAGTGGAATCTGGATTAAGATTTCAGGGGCATGATCATCATCCCTCCTTAAAAATGAGCAGAAAAGCAAGTTTCTGTATTTTGAAAGGAAAAGTTCATATTTAGAAAGTTAAACAAGCAGCTATTCAGATGGGATAGGAGAGAAATGTCTCTTTTTATGTGTATACCTGAAGCTTTAGGGGATGTCAGAAGACCGCAACGTCAGATAAAGACAGACAGACAGGTTAGCTTAAGTGAATCAAAGACATGTCAGGAAACAGTGCCAGGAACTAAAAGGCAATGCAGACAAGCTGTCAACATTTTGAGTATGAACACCAGCAGAAAACTTTCAAGTTATAAACACGGATAATTAAAGACCTAAAAGCTACTTCCAAAGACACAAAAAACCATGAGCTCACTGTAGTGTCACATAAAGACAAATTAAGGTTATAAGACAATTGGTAGATTCTACCACAGTCTTTCTTGAAGATGTTTATTTTATCTGTTCACCATTCATTAATTTGATAAATTAATTAAGCCAGAAGAAAGGCTTTGTTTAAAAGCATGCAGTGTACTACACATTCATTACTGCTGAGTGTTACCATCAATAAATGAAGGCAAACTGAAATAACAGGTTTTAAACATACCTGTAAGCTTGGGAGCAAATTCATCTAGACAACAAGTTAGGCAATTCTCATTTCTTTCCTATATAACACTCGCCTTGCCCCATAGCCTGTCCTTGTTAACAATGAACTCTGGCAGATCCTTGATATTTTATTAAATGTAGTAAAATTTTGCATATCTTAAGACTGAGGTGTCAGTAAGGTTATGATGTTTTATAATGGTCTTCTCAGATTGTTACAGAACTCACTTTCCATTTCAATTCATTCACAGAACATTATCTTGCATACAGACAAAGGGATGAAGCAATGACCAAAGGAGTACAAATACCACTGAGAGAATAAACTAGAACCCTTAAATCCTGTCAGTTCTAGGTGAAAGAGGGAAGAGAATGAGAAAGAAACTCATCAGCTGATGCTACTTGTAACCACCTCATCTAAAAATGCAAAAGCAAACATTGCAAACCAAATGTAAACAGGTGTAAGACACTTCTCAGCTGGGAAAAAAAAAAGGGGGGGGAGGGGGGAAGCAAAGGTGTAAGTTTAAAAAAGAGGCAAAAGAAAGAGAAAAATACAGATTATTTTTTTTCCCCAAACCATGGCCATGTGCATAATATACATAAAGGTCCTTACCTTTTTCACTGACACTTTCACTTTCTATCTCCACATCTTCACAGCTAGTATATTCTGGTGTTGATGCCCCTTCTTCCTCTGAGCTACTAACTGACATCTGCCTTTTCTTTCCGCCTCTTTTTGCTCTATGAGGCTTTGGAGGGGATGGCCGCACTGATTCCGACTGGTCAGAGCTAAGGGAATCATTCCTTAGCATGGTCTCCATTTTCTCCCGCTTTGCTTTTCGCATGAGAATAGCAGAGCTAGGATCAAGGCGGCTCTGTTTTTTAAAGGAATCGTGGTTCTTGTATTCTACGTGTTCTATAGGAACTGGACTATGCCTGGGAGTTGGTGGGCTATGATTAGTTAATTGTTTAGAAACAGAAATTCTTACATCACCTGTTCTGTCTATAGAGTACGACCTCTGAGTTTCCACAAGAGATTTTCTGTCCTGAGTTCCCTGTAATTGTGAGCGTTTTCCTAATTTATTCTCAGGTACCTCCGCTTCCTCCATTTCTGTATGTGGCAAAGCTACATCACTGTGTCTTCTCTCATGACGTGCTTTAGAAACTTTCGCATGCATGCGCATCTGCTGTTCCTCTGGATGTGGTTTTACAGGATATCTTGCCAGATTGGGGTCACTCCTGTAACGAGTATGATATTCATCTTCCTTCCTTTGTTTTTCGTCATCAGGCACTTTGCCTTCCTCAAGTTTCTCTGGCAAGTCTGGGTAGTCCTGCGACTTGCCTTTCTCCAGCCTTCTACCTTCATGCCGTTCTTTGCGCTCCCTGTCATCTGCTGGTCCTTCTTTTTGAATTGAGGATTTTGGCACGCGCTTACGCTCACTCTTTAAGCCTTTGCCATTCTGGTCCGAAACCAACATTGCCTTCTTCCTACAAGGAAAAGGAGTACAATAATTTGAAGAACAGAATGCAAAATAAAAGTACTTGTGTATGCTGTTACGGTAAACAGATTATAAACCAGAATAAGCTATGGCAAAACATACAGAAAGGTACTGGATCCATTAACATGATTTAAATCTGTTAATCCTTGCAGCAGCACTTTTCCAATAGCAAACAACTTCCAGAGTCCACAAAAACATAAGTTACAGATGGTCCAATTAATTGAGTAAAATCACAAAGAATATTAACATGGAAAAAATGCAGATAAGGGTAATTCACCCACATAAGTAGGAAGACTCAGTCACCTTTGCAGTAACCGCAGCCCTTACGACAGAGTACTGGAGTATGTTCTCCATTTTTCTGGCAGCAGTCATGAGGGTTACAGAGTAACCACATGTACACAACTCACTTCAAGCACCCTGACAGTATAAATACAAACACCACCAAATGGAGTATCTCCCACAATGACACTACAGACAGAAGTAATATCGATATAAAAAAAATATAGTGACTATTTCCAGAAACAATAATATTTGGCCGAGTTTGCTGTATCTTATTAAAACTCTAAGAAGAAGTGCCCATTTCATCAGCATATAAAGAAAAGCAAATTGACTCCTTGAGATAAATTAATGTCATTCCTTTCTCTGGTAATAAAAGAGGATGAAAAATGTAATTTATTTCTCTATAAAGCCAAAGTACAAAACAATTAATAATGAAGCTGCATGAAAATTATTCTCTCTCCTCTTTAATCCTCTGCTTTGGGAAAATAAGCAAGCTGAAGAACAACAAAATCCCCTTACACTGGATATTTTTATTTCTCTCATCATTCCAGTTGCCCTTTTGTTTACCAGTTCACATATGAATCAATTGATTTTGAAGAAGGCTGAACACAGCTATACGCTGTATTTGAGATGAACCTGCACCAGGACAAAGTCACCAGGACTTTGTTTTGTGGTACCAATTCTTCCCTCCCACAACCAATACATCTTCAGATTACATATCACAGATTTTCACAGATGCATCCGACAGGACAGGCAAAGTTGGATATGATCCAAGTTAAGCTTCTCTCTCCTTTTTCTCCATCTCCTGTTCCTCCTGGTTTTTTTGGCAATAAATGGGACCTGAGCTTACCGTAGATGCTCTCCATTCAGAACCCTTGGACTTCATTTGAAAGCCTCAATGACAAGTAGAGAACATTACTACTGTATAATTAATATAACCGTCTCAGTTTTGGACAGCTAAGCAGAAATAGAAAGAATTTTCCTGCCCTAAAAGTGTCCTTCAGCTGAGTGACAACTGCTCTGGGGCCCTCACAGTGATGGAGGAAAAAAGTCAATAGAATTAGGGGAGGGCACCATGTGTTTGTTTACATCATACCTATACGTAACATTAACCTGAAGTTTAGTACAGTTAAACCCAGACAGACCTCACCCACACAGTAAGTTACTAGCCACTGTTCATCACCCATTTTCAACTTCCGTAGCTATAAAAAAAAAAAAAAAAGAAAAAAAAAAATCATCAACTGTTCCGGCCAAGGGAGAATCTTCTATGGCAGACTCTTGTCTTGTTGCCACAGGCTCCCTCCTCAGCTGCTCTGCCATCTGCCAGGCAGCAGCCAAAAGAACAGCGACTGCTTCATCACATTAGCCTCTCTTGATTTGCTACTCCTCAGCCCGTTCATCACAGTGAACGCAGCTCAGGATTTTTTACTCAATATATAACAGTTTGGTTCCACTTAGTTTTATTCTTGTGTACAACTTGCTCTGAATTCAGGATGGTACTATTGCTGTTCTTCATGAATGTTTACTTTGCAGGTGCAAATGAGCTCTTTTCATAGTTCCTGGTTCATTATTAAAAATAATACAATCATTGATAAAAAGATAACAGATAAGGATATCTGACAGAAGTCCACAGGGTGGGGGTTTTGTTTGGTTGGGTTTGTGGTTTTTTTTTGGATGGTGGCTATTCTTTTAAATTCTAGTACATTATTTCATCAAGTTAAAGGCTTGTTCTGTTTAATAACTTTAAAATACCTGCCAAATTTAAAGTTTAAAAGTAACCTACTATTCTATATGAAAAGTGTACACCAAAATGCACTGAAGTACACAGAAGTATCCCTAAAATATAATTATTCTTTTTGCTCATTTTTTTTGCACAGACCAAATCAGAAAATGTATTGCCTAGTGAACATTTAACCCTTCCCTCATCAATAAATCAACTTATTGTTTGTTTTTACATGGTTCTAGACACACGCAAGGCCCAGCTGACAGCCTTGTGTAATATTACTGAACTAGCATTTATAATTCTGAGGCTCTATCAAGACAGAAAGCATTACCTCTCTCTTGGAGGTTCACTTCTAGACCTTGATGAAACTTGCTTTTGGTCCAGGCCCATAGCAGGCTGCGATACTTCTGCTCCTTTCCTCCGGTCGGACTGCACGCTGGAAGAAGAGATTTCCTGTGATGAGGCAGCTGCTGTACTTAAGGGAGTCTGTGATCTTGACCGCTCTTGAAGTCTTGCTTTCTTTTCTCTCAGTGCATCCGAGCTTCCACCAGTCGCTGTATCACTCAGTGCTCCGTCCTGGCTGGGTGAGGGCTGTGGTCCACTTCCAAAAAACCACGCTCCTGATTTCGTTAGGATTTCTTGTTGCTTTCGACATAAATTGCATACCCACATAACCTAGTTGAAGACAACAAGAAGAGTCAGTGCAGCTACCCCTCAGACCCTGAAATGCATGCTCACTATCAGAGAGCAGGTATGATCTCTCGCTCTCCTCTAAACTGGTGAGGTTGGGGCTCATGACAGGACCCAGAACATGCTTCTCCAAGCACTGACTGCACTGGCTAGAGCCAAGCATCCTACAGGCACATGCTATGCGAGCTTCTCCAAAACGTGCTGTCAATATACGTCAGTCCTCCCTGTAGCTATCCCCACTCAGCCCAGCCCGCGCTCTCTTCTGAATAAACACTGACAACACAAACGCTTGTTGCTGGTGTTGAAGCAGTCGGTGGGGTGGATCAGGTTGTTTTCACTGGTGTGGATCGCTGTCAGGACAAGCCTACCAGACTGTAAATGGGACTTGTACATCAGGTGGCGGAGTCCTGCCCAGCTAACACCCAACCTCCACCACAGCAGAAAACTGATACGGTATTTCCCTTTAGCTAATTTTTCTCACACAACATAACTCAACATTATCCTGCAAATAAATTCAGCATTTACTTTGCATGGTTTTAGCTGCATCCACAATCACTACTTACCGCAGATGTAAGGTAAGACCTAAAGAAACCTACTAATAGAGAACTAAATGCACCAAATGCAGAAGTACCATATTTTGTACTATTTGGAAATGATCATTTACCATCTCTTTAAGTTATAGCCGTAAGTAATAAATAAATAAATTAAACATGTGTCTCTGGCAATCACAGTTAAGCTGTGTACATAAACAGTGCTTCCCAGGATCTTTTAAACTTCTCTCTTTTTTTTAATTCCAGATACACAGATAAACAGGAGCACACACAGTAAAGCGAGACTCTGTTTCATATCTATATACTACAAGACAGTCCTATGTACAGGAGTAAATCAAAAATAAAAGGTTCATCGGGAATGTGAATATGTGAATATTTAAGAAAAAGCTGAGACAAAGACAAAAGGAATTTTGAGGCAGAAGAAAAAAGGCAAAATATACAATACAATATACAAAAGAATATACAAGAGGTAGGAATTTTGTCAGAAATAAAAATAAAGATGAGAGGAAACAAAGCTGACAACTAATAAGGAAAATGGTAACGAAAAATCTTCTAGTGTAATGTGGAAAGAAGTAAAAGAATAGGTAAAATTGTAAAGAGGGTAAGCAGGATGACAAAAGTTGGAATGAAAAATATGCTTAAATTATTTTGTGTAATCACAGGAATGACGCCACAGTCGCAAATCATACAACACTTAAAATTAAAAGGAACAGAAAAAACGATCACTTCAGGGAAGAATTGCAACAGGGCAAAGCTCTGGTACTGAGCACTCTTATTCTCTGGCCTGGTGAGGAAGTGCATGGCCTACATGGCATGATAAAAATTTTAGGTATTTTACATATTTAACGTAACTAAGATTTATTTAAAACACCCTAGAACAGACTATCTGTTTAGGTCTGAAGACTACATCAAAACTTCCAATACCACTTCTGCACTGTTTGACCAAACCACACTGAGAAGACATCCAACTCTTTTCCCTGTATCTCTTTATCGAAAGATGACTGTTACATTTCTTAATAAAATGCCTATTAAAATTTTAATTAATTAAAAACAAAACAAAGAAACTTAACCAAAAGCTACAGTTATTCCAACAGTGGCACAAGCGTGTATTATGATAAGCACAGATAACCCTCCGTAGGGTAATAGGAACAAAATAAATACTAGTCCTTTAACAAAAAAGTCCCTTGATTCCAAAATATCTTACTTCCTTCATCTAGTATACCTCACAAAACAGAAAATCAGTTTCTCAGACTATCTGTTCTAACAGAATTGATTTTTAGTCTATCTGGTATTATTAGTACAGATATTTAAAAAATCAGCAAGACTAAAAGAAAAAAGTGCCCCACTTTTTAAATGCCTTTACAGACTCTGACATAATTGTTAGCTGATAAGACACAAGAGTGTGCATGCACATGTGTCTGTGTATAAAATTTATGTCAATGCTATAAAATAAGGTCATTAATGAAAAATATGTCGTTGTCTATATTTTATCCGTTTACAGGGAAAACTGAAGAAAGTGTTAAAAAAATAAATCAACTAGAGTTCGTTTAAAGGAAGGATAAGGAATACTAAAGTAAAATTTAAATATTCTAATTAAATTACATATATGTGTATGTATGCAAGGATATTTAACGTGTAAAGATGGTAACAGACTTCATTTACAATTTAACGTATTTTATCATTTAAAATACGTATAATGTATGTAATAAACTTCAATAAATTACCATTAATTTACATAATCACCTTTGATATTTTAACTCATTTTATGCAAAGTATTATGAGATCCAAACAAATAGGAATAGCTAATGCACAAACAGACACAGAAAAATATAGAATACAGAGGGAAGTAGTACTAGACATGTAAATACAAAACCATTTTCTTACAGCTGTCTTTAAACACTGCAGTTTGGACACAATACATACCAATCACCACAGATCACACATGTAGGAAATCTGCATTATACTCACATAGAAGCTACACTACTATCCCTGTTTAGGAATCTCTTCAGGACTTAATAAATGCTACGTTTGGCTTGAGATGTATTCGGTCCAAAGGGAAAAATAATAAAAGGTTTTCTTTAAGAGGAAAAAAAAAAAAAAAACACAAAACCAAAAAAACTTGAGGTGACAGAACAGTTTCAGTGACAAAACTGTATATTGAAAAACATTTTTAGAGGAGTATGTGGAGCAAGCAATTCAGCAGCATGCAGGAATTATATCCTGATTGAATATACTGGGATGTGGTCCAAACTAATCTAAACTAAAGCAGGTCTGTGTAATAACTTATCTTAGCAATCCACAGATGTTAGGCAACCAAACAAATGCTCTGATGAAGGATTACAGTTCTCTAATGTGGCTTCTGGACCTCCACGCGATGCATCAGTAAAATGAAGAGCGTTAGACAATTTTACTCTGGCCTGTCACTTCAAAAATAGTTTCTGTTTACTCTTTTCTGGATGGCGAGTTCTGATGCAGTGCTACAGTAAGTCATTCAAGACATCCAGAGTCTGTTTTTTGTTGTTGGATTTGTTTCTGGTTTATTGCATCCTGGCATAGGTCAATGCATATCTGCACATAAAGAGAACCAGTAAAGGGGTGCTCCTCATTCAAAGGGTTCATATGCATGGCTCTGGAAAAATGTGCATTTTCACAGCATAGCAAAGTGTTCTGAGCTTTACTGCTACATAACAAAACCAAAGTGGCATATACAGGACTCAGCGGAGGTGGGTCAACAGTTCCCACACAGATTCATGTGGAAACTTTACAGGCTGCGTGAAAACATGCTAGGATTCCATGCTTGCCTTCGTGTGGAATACAGGGTATTTCATTCACAGAAAAAATATTCCTCAAACTTACTCTTAGAGGTACTGTTGAATGTGATCCACAATGAGTAGGAACAGTATTCCTGTACTAATACAACATGAAATTCCAACTTGAAAGAGCCCATAGAAAATAATATATACAACTATACACACAGAGAAAAAGAGCATTTTCAGTTACAAAAATAAGTACACTTCTTTATAATTACATATTTCAGAACTGCATTTTAGAATGCAGAAAAAAGGCTTTTTTCAAATTCAAATTTGGAGACTTCCAAACATGTACTGGGAGGCTAAAGTCCCATTGGTGGGGGGCACACACACTTTTTACCCAATTGGTGTGACACATGCCAGGCAAAACTCAGACTGAGGTCAGAGCAAGTTCACTGAATCCTACACCCAAGCCCGGATTCTGAGGAGGCTCAATAAGGAGCACACTCCTTCATGCTTCATGAGTTTAGAAATGGCAAACCTGCAGTTACACTGACTCCCATGCATCCTACTTCATCTCTGTACAGCAAATCAGGTCGTAAGTGTGCTAACATAGCAGGCCACAAGCTATTCCTTACTGAACCTTCATGCTATCCTAATTATTTCCCTTCTGAAGGGTGTATACTCAACATCTTTTCAGTTTATTGCTTTTGTTAATGTTCCTTTAGCCACCTTCTTCGCACTTCTAGAAGACACTAGTTATTTCAGACAGATCTAATTAGGCAGACCCTCCTCTCTGCCCGAGGCACCATTAACTTCAGCAGAGCTCTGCCACCATCCCACAAGTCATCTCTTGTAAGTCAGAGGGAAGAAATGTTATCCATTTGCCCTTACAAAACTATTCATCCACAGAATTAAGTTAGACTATGTATCACTTAATGTTTCTGGGACAACATAAAACATGCAGCAAACCATGAAATTAGTATATAGCATTGCATTTATCTCTTTTGCTATATCAAAATGAATTCTGTAATAAAGCCCTAGCTTAAGTGTCATGACAGCTTCAGTCCATTAAAATACAAATAAATTAAGCTGAAAATCTACTTGAGTCCTTCCATTAGTCCAAAATCTAAATAAGTAAACAACTCTACCTTTCTAATGAAAATGTGCTTGTGAATCCAAGCTTTCCTTAGACACATTTTTCAAAACTGTACAGACAGCTGAGTTGCACCAAACGGCTCCTGGTCATCAAAAAGGAAGGTCTTCTCCCCAACACCCTCCTTGCTCTTCTTTCTCCCTATCTGGGTTTGTCCTCTCCCTTCCTTGTTCCCAGCTTCACCACACTGCGTGCTGCCTTGTATACCCTCCCTTGACTGTCATGTCCTCCCAGGAGCCACTTGCATTTAAAAAACACAGTAGGAATTGACCTGTATTTTTAATTGGTTTCATTTTTTGTCACATCTATTCTCCTTATGTAGGGGTATGATGAGTAGTGAAATCATGTGGCCAGGAACACAGACAAATGGGGGAAGAGGATGTTTTCTCTACAGGAGTGGCTCACCATCTCCTGCTAAACTACATCTTGCAATGACACCCATACTAGTACATCAAACTTGCACAGAAACGTTTTTCAGCACTGATGTCAAATGACATGAAATAACCTGCATTCTACTGGGATCTCTGCCCTACTTCAAAGCAAGGTGGCTGCCTACTGTCTCCTGGAGATAAGCCTCGGAGCACCCCAACTCCCAAACCACCAGGAAAAAAAATGGTAAGAAGGTGCTGGTGGGCAGAAGACCAAGAGCGTGCCACGAAGCCCTCTGTTGGTTTACTAGTCAGATACTCTGATGCCTAGGAGAGGTCCCAGTTTAGGTTTAATTTGTTAGTAAAGAAGTAGCCTAGGAGTCTAGGTTCTGCTTTTGCTGAAGCCTCTCCTCTAGACTGAAGGGTTCCAAAGGACAGTACGATTCTCTGCAAGCAGGGAGGAGACTGGTTTGCCCACGCTGATGCTCATCAGACATACGGGGCTCAGCCATTTCAGGACTGTGATAAAAAGCCACTTTAGCACTCTCTGTTCTTCCATTCCTGCGCAGAGCAGATTTTCTCCATAACTTAGTTTTTCAGCTTGATATTTTTATCCCAGTTTGGCAAGTAAATGAGGTTTATGCTGACAGCTGATTGGTTTCTTCCCCCTTTCCTCCCCACACCCTCCAATAATGTTTTAACCCACTGGACAAATGCAGTAAAATTTTGCACAGGTGTGGAAGTTTTCAAGGATTACATTCTTAAAAGTTTCATGAAATAGGTAGTTCTATAATAAATATTTCATTAGTGCAATCTTTTATTGGCATCACAGAATCTACGCTACAATTCAACCGCAAGACACATTAATAGGGAATGAGGCTCCACTGCTTACAGAACCACATGTCACCTTAAAGTCTGTGGTGCCATTTATATGTTTGATTGAGAGCATCCAGGAGGGATGTTAAAAAGCCCACCTTATCAGAATTTTCCACTTGCACTAGAGAGCACACTTTTCCTGCTTGCCTTTCACAGTTAACTAACTGAGATGTTAACTTCCCAAGTCAGATCCCATGTGTACAAATAAGGATGAGAGTATGATGCTTAAATTTTTTCTGTCTACACAGAAATGACTATAGGCATGGCAGGTATTTAAGTTTCCATCCAAAGAGAATCCACTCGCTTCCAAGTGGACACAACAAAATAAAACTAAATCCTGTGCTTAATCATGGACTAGTGTCATTAGAGATAAATCAGCATAACCCACCTGGCTGCCGTGTGCCACTTAAGAGGGCATATGCCTTCCACAGGAGTTACTTTGCATCTGCCAGCCATATCTGTATGTCTATGTATCATAAGGTATCAAAAAATGGCACCAGATGCCTACTTTTAGGCAACTGAACACACAGTTCACACATTGATCCTAATCCTATTCCTGGCTCAAGTTTCTAAACCCACAAACTGCCAATACAAAGATGCAGAAAAGGTGCAGTGGAGCAATGATTCAAGGAGTTAAAATCAAAAGGGTATTTTATGTCAGTTTTGTTGACATTGCTGCTAGCAACAGTGTTACTAGTCATTTTAAGATAAAAATAAAACAAAAAACAAGTGACTTTTTTCACATGCGCTGCTGCCAAAATCTCTCCGCCACAGCTGTCAATCTGTCAGATAGCTCCCAACAACTTCCACAAAAATTAAACATTCTCTAGAATAATCCCACAGCAAACTGAGTGTTGGAAGTGATATATTCAGGCAACTATAAAGTTATCACATGACATAATCCCTCTAAACCAGCACACCGCCAGGTTCCAGTCACTACTACAATGTACTTTCCTGAGAATGCCGTTGGAGTTCAAGGAAGAAACCGAAATTGCTAGTGGAGAAGTCTTTGGTTTTGTCTAAAAATTCACACCGGCACATTTACATATGGTAATTTGAAATATTATCCCCCAGAAGTTGTTTTTTTTTTTTCTAAATCTACTACACAAATAAATTAATACACAGCACTAAAAACATACTATGTGTCTCAGTTACAGTTGTGGTCTCCTAAAGTGGGACTCTAGCTTGGACAAATTAGGAAACCTGGCACGTGAACTTCCTTGCAGCTCTGCATTTAGGTCTATTTCCAACTAAAATGATCAAAATCTACAAACTTACAATTTGGAGGGAGACAGAAGAGACTATTCTACCAGGAGAAAGAAGGGGTTAAAAATCAAAGAGTCTCAGGAAGTATCAATTGTTTGGGCTGATTTGTCTGGGCTTGAGAATTTCTTTTTTGGAAAAAAAAAACAAAACCTTAAGAAAAGTTTATGGAGGATGAGACAGGACACACTTTATTTATCCACAGGTCATCATGGTGAGGCTTAGACCACTTCTTTTGTAACTCAGCAACCTCAAACATCCCAATGGTTTGATTCCTCCACAGGCCCTATATTTAAGCTTACCCCATTTAAATCTATTTTCCATATTGCTACACTCCTTCCTCACTCATCTTGCCCACACCACCCAGTTGTACCCTCAGTATTTTTACTAGAATTCTAAGCCCCAGCGATAACCAGCACTTCAGAAAGCTCTGCTTTGGTCTCACACTTCTCTCACAGACCAGTTTCTTTTCCAACTTTCTCTCTCTTGCCTGGAAATTTCTTAATATATTTTCTGATAATGTAGTAGCCATGAACTGCTAGTCATGTTTTCTGTAACACCCATCTCCATTTTTTATAGAATATTTTTGCATATTCTTTCAACTTTCTTAAAAAGCACATAAAGTTTTGTCTAACTATTTGAACATTTGGCTGTCTTGATGAGCCACAGAAGCATCAACTGTACTCCTCTTAATCACTTCATGGTTTCCATAGTTACAGATATACATGGAACATAGAATTAATTTTAAGAAATGACAGAAGTCTAACAAAATAAGGTAAATGGCATGAAACAGCTTACAGTCAGGACTGATATAAAATTTCAGTTGTCATTCAAAAACCACAGAGAACTCACCAGAAGCTTTCCACTCCATTTATCCACTTATATATTTGCAAACTGTTGTAAAAATATACAAATGCTCAGAACAAGACTTTCTTTAATAGTGCAGGAGTGTGTACATCATCTTTGTGGGAGCCTGCACTACACCACCATTATTTATGTTTCTATACTATCCTTTTATATCAATATTTTTTTATACAAACTGTGATAGAACAAATGTAGTAGAGAGGCAAAAGAGGTTGGGGTTTTTTTTTATACAGAATGTAAATAATTTACGACAAAAGAAAATGGAAACATGTAGATGTAGAAAAGTTGCAAAGGTTAGTCAAAACAGGAAAAGCGTTAAACCATAGAGTCAAATTCGTGAAGTAAGAAAAAAAAAAATCTCATGGAGGGAAAAGTGAGTGGGTCAACTGATAGCAGTCATAGGGGCCTTGATGGGTAAGAACTAAATTCTGATTTTGTATTCTCAAACACAAAAAAAATTAAAAATAGTGTTATCGACTCTCCGTCCTTTCCTCCATCTCCATTCAAAACTCAATGGGACATGGCCCTGGCAACCTGATCTACTTGGGCTTGCTCTGAGCAGGGATTCAGACTAGAGGATCTCCAGAGGCCCCTTCAAACCTCAACCATTCAGTGATTCTGTATGGAGTAAAG